CCCTCCCTCCCTCCCTTCCTTCCTCCCTTCCTTCCTTCCTTCCTTCCTTCCAAATTTACAATAAATGATAAGGGTCACAGCATCAGAAAACAGCGAACACTTGTATGCGGTCAGACCTATAATATCCTGTGCACCAACTTTAAAATTTAATGCTCAATATTAAATATTCTTTTAGCAGAAATGTATATGAATATATAATAAGTTTGGAGCAGTTTGAACCTGAGCAGATGGCATTGTGTTCTTTTCAGCCCTTTTTAGCAAAACTTCAGTCTTTGATTAAAGAGAATTCAGCTGCTGTTGAAGAGATAAGAAAAACAGAAACGGGGAACAGGAGTGAACCAAGTGCCAAATTTGCCGTTGGGGACCTGCAAGAGGAAGAAACGCTTAAAGATTATGATTTAGGAGATGTGAAGAAGACAGAAATCCATTTTGATCCAGAAGTAGTTCAAATAAAGGCTGGAAAAGCAGAAGTAAGAAGTCTGGGGGGTGGAGGGAGTGGTGTCACTTTAAAAGTCCTTTTACGTTTACGGTGTTAAAACATTTGTTTATAGATTGACAGACGAATATCTGCATTTATTGAAAGAAAACAAGCTGAAATCAATGAAAACAACGTAAGGGAATTTTGCAATGTTATTGATTGTAATCAAGGTAACTAGAACTTAATTATCATAGGATTCTAAACTATTTTACTGTTGTTTTAATCTTTTGTTTTTAAAAATGAATAGCATTAAGAACATAATTCAGTTGATCTCATAGGTTTTTACTTGGTAATTAAAGTATTGGAATTTCCTTCTACTTAATAATAGACAGTGTTACAAAGTTGGATTTCATTTTGCTTACACAAAAATCAAATACATGCCAACAGATAATGACTGATGTTTACCACAGTTTGGGAAGGTTGAAGTTCCTCTGGGAAATGAAGGCAGAATGTTGGGTGGCAGGGTTGTTCAGGTCACCATTGTGAAGAAATAAAGGAGGGTGAGTTTCAAGTCTATAAATGTATTTGTGAAGTTAGGTTACCACAGAAAGTGAACTTAGTGAAGTTGATGGCATTCCTCAAGAGGGAGCAGTTTTCTGGTTAGTTCTGAGTTTTGTCATGGGCACACTAGCTTGTCATGAAGACCGTGGTTTTAGACTTTTGCTTTCTCTATCCTGCATACATCTGCTGGTTTTCATCAGCTTCTCCCTTCCCTCTTCAATTGATGCCATGGTATGTTTACATATCTGCAGCATACTTGCAGCATCTACATATTGCATAGCTAATAATAGCTTTAGATTTTGTCATCATCATACTAATTAGAGCAAGTGGTTCTTAGAAAAAATTACAGAGAAGGGTTCATACTTGGATTAAACATTTTTCTTTGTTGCTTTATAATGTGTCTTAGCTAATTATTGTGAACACAGAATTGTCAGTGGAACTAGAAGTGACTCATACCACACTGATTGAATGTTTGTCTTTTGAAATAATATGGGCTCATTTCAGGTCCTAAGTTAGTTCGACCTTTTTCATGTGTATCTCCAGATTTAGCTCTTCACAACAGGTACAACGGTGGCAAAATCTTAGGTGCTGCAGTCCAGTTACATGTAACTCATGAGAAAGGGTTTGTTGAGGGAGGAAGCACAAGTGTCACTAATGCTATTCCTCTGTTCTCCTGCTAACTCTATTATTACAAACCACCAGGGGATAGAAATTGACAAGAATTGAAATGCTCAGCAGGATTCCTTGGCCCATTCAGTCCCTTGCTGGCTCAAAACAGTGCTAGCAAGAATTGCTGAGGAGAGTGACTAGCACCTCTGCACTCAGCATCTTCACACCGTGCTGAATCTCTCTGGTGGGGCTCTGTGTTTGCAGTGTAGCTCTGGAAAGGATGCTGCTGCTGCTGCTGCTGCTGCTTTTAACCCTTAGACCAGTGGAAAGCCAGGGAGATAATGGAGAAGTGTAGGCACTTTAACTGCGTTGTGAAGGTAATTCCAAGAAAAGAAAGTGACAGTTTAGTCTCTAAATGTAAAGGATAAGTGCATTTGGAAGTTTGTTTATACAATTTGACTTAGAAGCAGATCTACTAAAGAAACTTAAGTTGGAAAAATACATTTTAATGTGTTTGTTCTTTTGAAGACCCTTTAGTTGACCTAAGAATGAATAATTGATTTTTAAAAATCAAATTCCATAGAAAAAAATTTCTTTCAGTATCTCACTTCATATTCAGTTTTTATACAATAATTATGGAAATTTTACAAAAAACTTACTGCCAATGTATGGTATTTCTGTTACTCAAGCATAGTATATTTGCTATATATTGTGGTATTATGTAAATACGTGCGTATAACTGACAATTATTTCAGTATTTAAATTAATATTATATTAACATGTTTCCAATTTTTTCCCTTACAATTTATTGGGTATCTAATTTGAAATGAATTGTACGTTTTAGCTTGGAAAAAATATTAGAACAAATTTTACAACATGTCTTTCCTAAAATTACATTTTTTGAAAGGTAGGATTAGAAGGAGTAAAGAACATTTTGATCAGAAATTTTTTTAAATCATTTAAAATTTTTTGAGAATTTCATGCATGAATACTGTTATTTACATCATCCCACCTTCCCCTCAGCTTCCCCCATGCCTCCACTCTCGTTTGCATGACCTCTTTAATTATTATTGTTGTGTGTATGTGTGTCTTTTAAATGAACATTGGAAATCTTAGGTACAGAGGAAAAGTATGTGTTGTACTTGAGGTTTCAGGGTCTTTTTTATATGGAGGTTCTGAAATTAAAAGGTGTAAAATATACAATTAATCCTTTTATTAGATGCTAATTTGGTAATAAAAATGTTGGATTTAAAAAAAAGATATTCAGTAAATTCAGTTCTGTTACTATGATAGTTAGACTATGGTGTTCTATAATATTGAAGTCATTTTCTCCAAAGACCCAGATGGTTCATGGTGATACCGATTTTTTTAAAAAAAATTATCCTGTTATGCCACTTAATGCTAATGGTTTTTCTGTATGTAAATCTAAACAGTAGATAAAAATATTAGATATGATTCAATTTAGCAGATAAAAGCCACTCAATTCTATTTGGATGTGATAGTAATTTAATGTTTTTTACTATTTGAAATTCTCTTATGAGTAATGTATTATAAATTATCAAATTGGAAATTTATCAGATTTCATACAGTTGTAATTAAGAATATATTTATACTAACGTTCATGCGAATTTTCCTTAGAAAATAGTTGTGCAAGAACTGATGCCATCTTTACCCCTTACCCTGGATTTAAAAGTCATGTAAAAGGTAAGTAACCATTACATAATATCTTTGTTACTGGCAGAAATTTATTGTAGATTATTAACAGAATAGAATCAAAGTAACTTTCCCATCTAAATTTCATTTAAAACAAAAGTATTGCCTTTGTTCATTTGGGGTTTGTTATTAGAGATGTTTCTCAAAAGAACATAAAGTCCTATGAGAGAGGGAGAATTTCTGTTTTTGAAACATACAGTCACATACTCTAAAAAGTTTCTTAACCTAGTTTCTAGAGTTGTGAATACATATGGACCACAGACTAGATCTGAAGGAATCCCAGGGTCAGGTCATAACCCTGCTGGCATGCTTCGAGACTGTGGTAATCAGGCTGTGGAAGAGCGGCTCCAGAACATTGAAGCTCACTTGCGATTGCAGACTGGTAAGCAGAGCATTGGGTATGCCCCGTGAAGTTTGCAAGAGGATGAGAACTGCATTCCTTTACTCCAGGTCTTCACTGACAGCCGTCCTTCTGGCTGTAACTGTCAGGACAGCCAGGAATCTGCAGTTCTCCAGGCTTTTGCTCTTTTTCCTTCGTACAGCTCTCTGGACTTTCTAAATGGAGAAAATGCTGGTAGATTGGGAAGCAAGTTCCAACCGGATTCTGTTAACTTTAGTTTATCAATGTCATAACTAAAAATTAATGTAATGTTTTGTGATGGCCAGTTTCAAAACTTAGAGTGACCACCTCTAATTCAAATCATCCACACTGCCAGCTACAAAATACTGGTAAATGTGGTCTTGTTCTGTAAGGCTCTCCATGAGGATGAGCATGTAAATGAATAAAAGGGATAGAGAACATGAACCCATGTATAATATTGAACAATAGTGCCAATCACTCTGAAAGTGTCATGCCTCTGTCAGCTTTGTGCTTAACAGTGTTCTTTTGTGGCATTGGTGCTGTTATTGTATAGATAATGAAACTGGAGCTCAAAGAGCTCAAATAACATACCCAAGATTTACGGTAAATAAGGACAGCTGTAAATGTAACATTCCTAAGATATTAATAGTAAGTAACAGCTATAAAGGAAACATAATTCCTAACTGGCTGCCAAGGCCAAGTTCCCCCGTTAGATACCATGTCCTATTGATTCTGCCTTCTAAATGTCTCCCAAATACATCCACTTCTCTCTCCACAACTACTGCTATAAATGAAGCCACAATGATCTCTGTCTTGGAGTAATAGAAAGATGTTAACAGGCTCTTTGCCACTCAACTTCCTCTTCTAGGTCATTCTTTACCCCGTGGCCAGATTGCCTTTTTTGAAGTTCAGGGCTTACTTTGTTTCTACCCAGTTAAAAATTCCTTAATGGTTCTGTGTAGTCCTTAAATATATACCAAACTTAGTATTTCTCCACCATTCAACAATAATATTAAGCACTGGCTATAATCCAGACCCTGTTTTTTATACTGAAACCACATCTAAGCAGAAATTCTATTTGGGGCAGAGGAGATGGTAGAAATAATAAATCACTTGGTATGCTACAGGAGAAGGGCTAAAGGTAAAAGCTTGCTTGAGAGAAGAGAAAGGAAATTGTGACAGGAGGAAGCTTTAATTTTAAATGGGATCATCCATACCTAGAGACCTAGAGTTCCAGCCAAACCAGTCACTGAGCTTCCTCTCTGCCTGCCACTCATTTGACTGCTTAATAGCCTTTGCATCCATGTTGACCTTCCAAATCCTAGACTAGCGTGGATCCTCTTTTTATATAGTCTCATAGCACCAGTATTCCTGTCCTCCTTGAAAGCTGGTACTGAAGTTTTCGGTTTGTTCAGTGTTGGTGTTCTCCGCTAGTTAACAAAGACTGAGAGTAGAATCATGCCATTTGTGTCCATGACATTTTGAACTTCGTACAAGGCCTGGCACAGAGCAGGTGCTCAAATGTTTATCGAAGGAAGAGTTGTTGATTTTACCTTCTCAGGATGTGCATTGTTCAGTAGGCCACAGAGCTAGTGTTCATCTCTCAGAGAAGGTCGAGGATGGCACTGCTGATAAAGTGGTATTTGGGCCCTTGAAGAATCAGTAAGAATACTCTTAAGAGCCACATGTTCCAAAAAGAGGGAATAGTCTCTGCATAAAAGCTCAGAGGCACAAAATACAGTCCAGGAATTTTCTGACTCTAGCTGGAGTATTAGGTATAGGTGGACTAAGAAAGGAGAAGGAGTTAATCTTTGGGTAATAAGACTTTACCATGAAGAGCCAATCCCCTCCCCCGGAAGTAGATGGGTTTAAAATGTAAATACCTAAAAGGACTGAATGGTTAAATCTCAAATAGTGTCAAGAAGTTAATTATTGTAAAGAATATCTTGACTGCTTAACTGTGTGTCAACGCTATTTCAGAATCAAGGAATACTTAACACAATGTAGTCATCGGCTCTGTCTTCAAAGACATAGTCTATGGGAGAATGATTAATAATGAAGTAGAATTTTAAAGGGATGCTGAAGAGGGGTATGGTGGAGGCACAAGAAGCCTCAATGGGAGGTGGTTGCAGGTAATGCTTCAGGACCCAGTGAAGCTTGAAGTGGCTCCTGAAAGATCCTGGGGTAAGCAGGGGACATGCTAGGTATAGTGAGCTGAGAGCAAAGTCAAAAGAACAAGTTACTTATTTTACCTTATTCAAGAGCATGAACAACCATGATCCTATTTATAACACCTCAAAAAAAAGAGAAACTAAGTCCAAGAGTTCTCATACTTAACCAACCTGATACTTTTGATATAATTTACCTGTATTCTTGAATACCTGCTCTGTGCTAAGCCTTTTAGTCTATGAACTGATAATTCCTTGGCTTGTGTGGTGTACAAGTTGCCAGCCATACTCACTAAACAAAACCAATAAACTCTTAGTCCTCTTGGTACTTACACTGGAGTGGGAAGGCAAATGATGAAATGAACAGAGTGTTGGGAAAAAATTAAGAGGAGGTGCTTGTTAAAGGAAGCAGTAGCTCCGGCATTTTCAAAAGGATGTCAGAGAAGATCTCAGATCAGGTAAGTTTTGCATAATACCCGCTGAGGCGGCCCAGAGTAAACTTCCTTGGGATTGTGGAGGTTGGGGGACCCACCATTGCTAAAACGCAGTCAGATTGGTTAGCCTGCTTGAGTAACAAAACAAAGGCAATTAAGTGGCTGGAACCATAATTGCTTGGGAAAAGTGTAGGGACTGGTGGGCCATTGTTAGGGCTTTAATCTTTAATCTGAGTGAAACAGTATTTGAAGGATTTGAACAGAGAATGGATGCATTCTAGCTTACATATTATGTAGTGATTGGCTCCTGGATTGAGAGTACATTCTTTGGAAATAAGGCAAAAACAGGGAGACCTCTTGAATGTTGTAGTAATCCAGACAGATTATGGTAGTCTAAACCAGAGAGGTTACAGTAGTGATGTTCCTAAGAAGTAGAGGATTCTGAATATATAATAAATTGAAATTCAAGTATCTTTAATATACCATGTCCTTCCCCAAAAGGTTTTAATTCAGAATTATGGGAAAGCCCCCTTTTAATATTCTTCCAGGTCAAATGAGAAAATAGATCATGCTTAGGGAAATGCCAGTTAAGGAAAGTAATGAGAGAACTATTTCAACGATTGATTTGCACGATCATTTTATCACTGGAGTTTTGTTGTTGTTGTTTTTTCCTACTAAGTAACTACTAACATCTACTATAAATACTAATTTTTCTACTGAAGCTATTCAGTATCTCATAAAATGAATTTCACAGAAAATTCACAGCACTATGGGAGGCATACTAGTGTTTAAAAAGAAGTGTAGTACAGTGTTTCTCGTGTACAGTGTGAAACTGCGATTTACAGGTTTTAATAATTTATTTGTTTTTATTTGTTCACTTTCTTTTTGTTTTTGTTTTTTGGGTCTTTTTGAGACAGGGTCTCCCTGCAGCCCCAGATCTGCCTGCCTCTGTCTCCCCAGTGTTGGGATTAAAGGCATGCACCACTACGTACCTGGATTATTTACTTTCTTAAGTTTAAATGTTTCTTGTCAATGTCTTTGTTTGATAGTTTAAGAATAAAAATAGTAAGATAATAATTTGAATTTTAGCATTTTTTTCTATTAATTTAGGTGGTCCAGTGCCAAGAGACATTTATCAGAGAATTAAAAAGCTTGAAGATAAAATCCTTGAATTGGAGGGCATCTCTCCTGAATATTTTCAACCTGTAGTAAGTATTAATGTCTTTTTAAAAAGTGGTGCTGAGCATGGTGGCACCTGCAGAGGCAGGTAGATCTCTGAGATCAAGGCTAACCTGGTCTGTAGAGGGAGTTCCAGACCAGCTGGGAGTATAGGAGACTCTGTCTCAAAAACAAAACAAAACAAAGTGCTATTTTATTTTAAAAACTTCTATTGTATAGTAGTTCATTCATTGACCTATCTGTGAAACACTTTTAATGATTAAAACATAAAGTCCTATGTAGGGGAGTATCTGATTCTTTAAAAATTTTGGTTCTAAATATTTTTTAAATGTAGGGATACTTTTATTATCCATTACTCATTCTTTTAGGCCACTTTCATGGCATAATAAATTAATTTAGATATGGTTCACTCTGTAACTCTGAAATTGCTATCTTATAAAGAAATGCTTTGCTTTTAGAACTTACTGTCAGGTAATCCTTGTTGCTCTAGACTCTTCCCCTCAGCTCATAGATAAGTACATTTCTTGATACCTAAACAAGCTCACACCTTATACTCTCACCTATTTTCTTTACCTTAACCAGACTTTTTAAAGACTGGTCTTCGCCTAATTCCTCAGTTCTGGTCTTTGTTCATTCATTCCTTCACTCATTCTAACCCCTTTTCTATTTTGCTGATAAGTGTTTTCTTTGGTACATTGGTGTTTCAGACAACTCCAAGCTCATTCTGTTTTCTTCCACCTCCATCTGCTTATCTGTTCTGACGCTTGCTTGTGGAGGAAGTGGTTGCTTGTTGGTTGACTTGCTTGCTTGTTTGTTTGTTTGCTTGAGACAGGGTCTCACTATAGAGCACAGGCTGACCTTGAACTCTTGATCCTCCTGCGTCAGCCTCCTGAGTGCTGGAATTGTAGGTATGAGCTACTATGCCTGATTGGGTTTGCTTGCTTGCTTGCTTGCTTGCCTCTTTTGGGTTTTGAATTTTAAGTACCATATTAAAAAGAAAATATGAAAAGTGAAGTCATATTAAAATTATTTCTGAAAAATTATGTCGAAAAGTGCACATTAGCATAGATTATTTGATAGGGTAGTAATCCTAAGTTACAAATTGGGTATTAGAAGAATGTACAGAACAAAAATGGGCAGCAAATTGTAAATGATAAAAATTGAGATAGCATTTAGTGATTTACTGTACTCAAATATAAAATGAGGTTTATGCTAAGTATCAAGGTTTGAAATTAAATGACACAAGATAATTAGCATATTGCGTAGTACATGGTTAAAAAAAAAAAAACCCTCAGTAAAAGCATGTATTTGATTTCAGAAGCCATGTGTGGGGTATCTATATAAGGTCCTTTCCTCTAACCTGCACATATCTAATTTTAGGAAATGTATTAAACTACAAATTACAAATTTTTTCTACTTTGAATGTTTCTTCCCAGAAAACTTCCCACAGCAATTCCTTCCCAAGTATTTCTCTGTCAAGCCGCTTTCATTAAGTAACCCTTGGTTCAGTTCCATAGCTTTTTAATACAATTTTTTTTTACCAGTAGAACTGATCTTAGAAGATAGTATGGTTGTAACAGAGACCTCTAGTGAAGCCTTCATGACTCTTATTATGGTTTAGGAAATCTTAAATAGTGACTTAGTTAACAAAAGACCTTCATAACCTAATTTTGTGGGGGGTTTGTTTTTATTGTAGATCTGTTATACATAATACACAATGCATTGTTAAAGAAGAAATCAAGTTGTAGAGAACCTTAAATGCTGTACCTGAGAGCTGTTTCTCTCTTTTTTAGGCAGGGAGAGTAGGGATTTATTGAAAGCATTTGAGCAGAGAAGTGATTTATAAATGCAGTATTTAGATTTATAATATTTTAACTATAGGAGGAGATAAAACAGGAGATAGCACTATACTAGCTTAGGTGTGAAGTAAGATCTTGAAATAGGGACAGGAAGGCGAATATAAAAAGTTAAGTAGGAAAGAAAAATTGACAGCTGTTGGTAATTGGATATGGAAAAGGACAAGTTCAGTTTCTGGTTAGTAAGAACGTTAATGTCATTGGTAGAAATGAGAAAATCAGGAGGGGTTGATATTTTTCAGAGGGGCATGAGTTTCAAAGTATAGGAAGATATGAAGAAAGAAATAGCAAACTTTTTGAGTGATATGACATACTTTAGACCATTGGGAGAATCTGCTTTGAGAAGCTTGTGAGACTCCAGCGAGAACGAACACTGCCACTGTCGATGGCCTGAGGCCTGTTGATACCATAACTGTATTGGCAGGAAGAACTAGAAATACTGACAGAATTAGCCTGCTGAGTTAGGCATTCAGGAAAGGAGGGATGGCAGCCTTGGTAAAAAGAATGCTTTGTAGACATTTCCAGATCTTCAAAACTTATATTTGATTGTTTTCACACATGAGAGAAATTGAGAACACTGTGCCCTGAGAAGATAGAGCACAGCATCCTCATGCTGTGAGTACATTTATAGTAGTTGCATGGTTTTACATTATTTATGCCTCGCGGTGAACAGAAAAGACTATGTGGCGCAGCCCTCACTGTTTGAGTTAGGGCATAAGGGAGCGTTCCGTCCAGCAGACTCCCTGAGGGCTGCTCTTTTGTTGAAAATTGGATTTCTAAACTCTGAAAAGATTTTAACTGAAATGTGTTTATCTAAATTCATATATAGATGAATTCTAAATATGAAGAAAGGTCTAGAAACCAGATAGAGGTTTATAGTCACGGGTAATATTGGAACATAGCATATGAAAGAATGAACGTTAGCAGAAAAGAAGTTGTAAATTTTGTTTAATTCACAGAAGAAAGCTAAATGTTTTCTTTTTAATTTTCTTTCCTTCCTAATGACAAAGCTCTCCTGACTTTAAAAGACTAGTAAGCTTTTCTAAAAACAAAACATGAATATTCTCATAATAGGAAAAAAAAACTTTAGCTTAAGTGCTTAAAATACCTACATGTTCTCTTTTGAGGGATCAACTTCAGTCAACTATTTCTGAAAAATAAAAAAGTCTTCTCTCAAAAAATGTACTCAGGCACACATCTTTAATCCCAGCAGTCAGGTGGCAGAGGCAGGCAGATCTCTTAAAATCAAGGCCAGTCTGGTCTACATAGCAAGTTCCAGGCCAATCAGGACTACTTAAGGAGTCACTGTCTCAAAAAAGACAAAAAAAAAAAAAAAAAAAAAAAAAAAAACAAACACCAAACAAACAAAAAGTAACTTGGTAGCTAACAATTGTCTATAACTCCAGGGGAATCTGATGCCCTCTTCTGATCTGCGGGCATTGTACAACATGGGTATACTTACATGCATGCAGGCAATACACTCATACACATAAAATAAATTAGAAATAATAAAAAAAATTAAGTATGTCATTGTTCAAGATAGAGAGAAGTGAAGGTCTGAGTTGTAGCAACGAGACAAGAAAAGATGGTACACCTGTAAAATCAATTGCCCTTTGCAGCTGATAAAAATGGGAAGACAGGGTGGATGGTCGTGGAAGAGGCCTCCTTACCTTTTAGTTGCCTTAGAGCATGGGTACCCTTGATCTGTGTGCATAGCATCATCTTTTCATTAGGACACAGGCATTATGAATATAGCTCTAAATTACCTGTCAGTGTAACACAGAATGAAGAGACATTTGGACTGTCCTCATGTGGTTGTTTTGCTGGCTGGTGTGTTGTACTCTCAAATATTTCAAGTATCAAACTTTGTTAAAATTTCCCCTTTGATACTGAGATGTTCTTATTACCTAAAACAAATTTTAAAGCTTATCTACTCAGACTAGATATGGTGCATAGAAATGTTCTTGTAAAATATCATGCTCAGACCTAAAATAAGCCCCCAACTCCCTTTACTATTTTAGTCATTGATCCACTATGTTCTTATTGTCATTCTGATATTTTTATTTTATTTCTGTTTCATGATAATAATTACCTGATTGTTTATGACATGGAAACTCGTATTCTACTGATTAATCTAGCAGTTAAAGCGAAAGTACATTTTAATCAAGTATTTAAAAAGCCACTCCTTGGGAAGGTAGTGGATAGATTGAAATTAAGCCCCACCTGCCCATGTTCCCTACCTCAGGTATCTAGCTCAGCTTGGCAAAAGAAGGAACATATTAACCTGAGTTCTGTTATTCCATATTTAATAATTCTAACACTTAATGGATTATTGTTATAACTACTGCTAAAAGACATACTTAGGCGTTCTTTGGATTAGCTTTTGACGTGAAAGAAAATGTGAGCTCTAATTTCTTACAAATCTTGGTCAGATATGCTCATGAGAAATTCTGCTATGTGCATTCAGTTTCTTTCTCAGATATACTCAATGGCAAACAAAGTCTTAAAAGAATTCATAAGATTTCAGTTTAAAAGGCTTAGTAATTTGTCACTGAAAGTGCTGTCAGCTTCAACTAACACACACGCACACACACACACACACACACACACACACACACACAAAATCGGATTGTACCTAGGGACTCTCACATACTGAGCAGATGTCTCACCACTGTGCCACATCCGCATCCCATCTACAAGAAGTCTGGACTCGGTGTGGAAATGATGCAGGAGGAAGTCCCAGTGAGAAAACACTCGATCATTGATTCAGTAGCTGAGTAACAATTAAAAAGGACTTGAGTCCTTACTCCTCTCAGCTGTCTGTCGTGGCTTCTCCTTGGTAGATGGAAAGACTGCTATCCACTCTCTTATCTCCACATATCAGTGACCAGAGAAACTCATATGTTTTCAATGTTTTCTCACAAAGGAAATAAGGAAGCTTTCAGAAACTTTCTCCCTAACTCCCAGTAGACTGTCCTTACTCATTGGCTACAGTTGGACCTGTGTCCATGTCCTTCACTGGCAAGACCATTGGGGTGGGCTAGGCATCCCCTTGACTCACACAGAGGAGAAAGAGCTGCTTGCCTAGACAAGCACAGTGCCCTTGATAGTCAAGGCATGTTCTAGCCTGCACACAGATATATGTGTCTTTACTTCTTGGCCTGATGCACCAAATTCCCTTTTATGTCTATTGCTACTTCCCTTGTTCAGTATCCTAGGGTAGGGTATTGTTTGTTTTGTTTGCTTTGCTTTGCTTTGCTTTAGAAACCAGGTAGAAAATAGAAAATCCCAAGAGTGCCTCTTACCACAATTATCAGGCATAGAGGATATATATGCAGCTTGTAGTTAATGAGAAAGTATGTGGGTGCCAGAGAAAAGATGTTGTTGCGCCATTACTACATACTACATACTTAAGTATCGCCATCTTTGAATATAAGAAGCTGGGTATTGGTTGAGATAATGTCAGAGTTCTCAAAGGTTGCCTGTGTTTTGTACAGTATTCTTAGAGGAAAAATGCTTGTGTTTGCTAAATATTGATCATCTGCCATTTTGTTACTTTTGAACTAGAACTTCTCTGGAAAAAGAAGAAAAGTTCAACTACCTCAAGTAAGTTGAGTTACTGTGTCTTCATGTGATTTCTACCGTAGATTGATGAGTTTTAGACCTTATTAATAAAAGCTTTTAGCCAGGCATGGTGGCACACACCTTTAGTCCCAGCACTTGGGAGGCAGAGGCAGGAAGATCTTTGTGAGTTCAAGGCCAACCTGGTCTACACAGAGTTCCAGGCCAGCTGGGTCTACAGGGAGACCCTGTCAAAAAGACAAAAAGTAAAAATAAAATAAAAGCTTCTACTGTAGGGTTGATTTAGAGGAATGGTTTTATTTCAAGAACTCAGACAAGCTAAGTAAATGCAAAAACCTTGATCTTATTTTAATACTCGAAGAATGTTTTGGTTGCAAAGTGCTTAAAAATGATAAATGCTCAAATAAATAACTTCAGTCTACTCTCACTCTCCCTTTTGTGGACATTACTAATGTTAGTATTATCTAAATCAAAAAGGTGACTTCTTGACTGGGGAGATGACCAGTGTGGAAAGGGGTTGCTGCAGCAAGCAGAAGGACCTGAGTTGGGAGCCCAGCCACCTGCGTGAAAAACTACACAGGGTGGCACGGGCTATAATCTCAGCACTGGGAGACAGAGAGCCAGTCTAGACTGCTGGTGAGCTCCAAGTTCATTGAGAGACCCAATCTCAAAAAGTAAGGTGGAGGAACTGGAGAGATGGCTCAGTGGTTAAGAGCACTGGCTGCTCTTACAGAGGCCCTGGATTCGTTTCCTAGAACACACATGGCAGCTAACAACTATACTTAACTCCAGTTCCAGGGGATCCAACGCCCTCTTCTGACCGACAGACATTGCACAACATGTGTGCACCTGCACACATGCAGGCAATATACTCATACACATAAAATAAAGAATTTTTTTTTTAAAAAAGATGGAAAGCAATCAAGGATGATACCTCTGACTTCCACAACCACACAGACACCCGCACACACGAGGGTAACAGCGGCCACCTCTGTCCAAAGTACTTCATTTTTTTAAATACTTACTATTTTTTATTTTATGTGAATGTATTGCCTACATGGAATTTATGGCATAGGCACCATATGCGTTTGTTCAATTTTATAATTATTGTCAGGAGGAAAAAGTAACATGCTATTGAATATTTAAATACTTATAATTCATTTAGCACTTTATCTGCATTAAGATGCTTCAAAATCTTATTCAGCAATTTGTGTCCCTGTTGTTTATAGCAGAACTATTCACTGGCGGAACTTGATGAGAAAATTAGTGCCCTCAAGCAAGCCCTGCTCAGAAAATCAAGAGAAGCAGAGTCCATGGCAGCTCACCATCTTCCATGAAAATTCCTCATCTGTCATTTTTCTTTGATATACATGTGTATGTAACTTACACTGCAATTAATTAAGCATATGTATTTATCAGTGCAAACTTTTCTGTGAAATCAAGGTTTATTTCACATGAGTCTGGCTTGCAGCACCTAATCTTCAGGCACTGCAGTGAGTTTTGAAATAATGTATGCATTGAAAATAGCATTGTTGGGATTTATTCCCTTCTGTTTTAAAGGACGTATTTTGGATATTGAAAAGCAATTTGAAAGAACACCGTTTTTTTCCCTTCTTGGTGGACCACCAAAGAAGATTATTTTGATAGTGATATCAAAGGACTTTATATTTTTAACATTAACTGGTTTGTTAGTTTAAATTAGTACCTTGTACACAATGGATAGTCAGCAAAAATGTTTTGACCAAAATCACTTAAATGCGTGTGTAAACCTATTTTTATTTTTGAGTTATCCTTGTAAATAAACAGTCAATCCCATTTTATCCTTTTATTGGCTCTGTGACCTGGAGCAAATTAATCTCTTTTTGTCTAATTTCCTACCTGTAAAGGAGAATGACAGTACTAGCACCTACATAATTGATGGTCATAACAAATGTGTGAGCTCATGCTTATGCAGGTTTTGACACTGCCCTAAAGGGATGGCTTATAAATGTTAGCTGTGATTGTGTAAAACAGTAATGAAGATGTTATAGACAAGTTCTATTGCTGTACTTAGAAATTAAACGTTTAGAAGATACAACTGCAGTTATGTCCAGGGCCTTTAATGGAGCAGCTATTTGAGAATTGTTTGATTGCAAGAATTAGAAATCTACCTCAGATCACTTATAAATGGGGAGCCGTTAAAAGAGTCAGAAACCTGGAGCTTCACTGGAGGAAGTATAGTAGGTGCACCTCCATCGTAGGATCCAGAGGTCACTGCTGTCCCTCTCCATGCCTGTGTCTCAGCCCCACTGCATCTTTCTGCCTCCTCCTGTTTCCCACTCCCCTGGTGTACCTTCCTGTCACCCTCTTTGTTCTTTCTCTGGGCCATGCAATCATTTGTGCATTCAGGGTACCTGCCTACAGGTATACTGGCTGTTTTTTCCAGCCTTTTGCTGGTGTTAGCCCATACTGAGTCCAGCTCTAGAACCTCACAACTCCAACAATTGATTACTTTAGTCTTTGCATTTCTTTATTGACAGTCTTCACACACTAACTACAACTGATCGGTCATCTTCATCCAGTTGCAGCTGGGACAGTGGTACAGGACCTCTTTATAGGAATGGGCTGTATATATACAGCCTTATATAACTGTGGTAGCCTTGAAAATGTGGTTACTTTGTTAAAAATGGGAGCAGGCAGCTTTGGACTCATTCCCCAAAGTTGGCATAGACTAGGCCAGTTCCATTAACGTCTCATCACCTCTGCAGAGCCAACACAAGTCAAGATTCTCCCTCCTAATGATGATGCCATCTCCCCAATTTCCACATCCTATAATACCATACTATCAGAATGACATCTTCCAGATTTAGTGACATTTTACCACCGACATAATCAGCAGTACAGTAGTGAAACGATGGTTAAAATGATCAGTCGGTAAAGGAGATTGACTTACGGTAGGGAAGAAAGCCAGCAAATAGGATCACAGAGTCATCACAGCTCATACCACGAATACCTCGAGTACAGTTTATTGCCTCCCTTAGGAGTGGAATAAGTTTCAAGGTCATGTCTGATAGTTCTGATGTCTGCCTGTTAGGATTTCCTTTTTCCATTGTTCAAGTCTGTAGTGGACATGAGAGTGGAATCCTCTCCAACTTCAGTTAAGTGTTGTCTGGTGCCAGCATCCTTTTCTCCTTGAGTCTGGAGCCTTCTGAAGAGGCCAGGACTTTATTTTGCTATCAGTGGGTATAGATACTTGCTAAGACTAAGGTTCTGGTGATAACTACTCTTGAACTAGTGACTTTCAATCTTTGTCTTTTCTTAGGTGCATCCACTGACTAAAAGATGGTGCTGGGACTTTCAAGAGAGGGGTGGTAAATTTGTTCCCTCAGTCCAAGCTACCTAATGACCATTGCTTTAGGATTTTTTTTGTTACTCTGCCTCTTTCCTTATACTCATTATTTCTTCCTAATGGCCTTGTCCTTAAAAGAAAATAGAAGAGGGCAAACAGTCAGAAAGAAGAGACTTGCTTTCAGGGACAACAAAACATCTCTTCCTAGTCAGTCCCAAT